AATTCTATCTCGTCACAAGAGGTCTTTAAGTTGCTTTTTGTCCTGCCATAGGAAGGCGTAAAACTTGGTCGGTGGCTGTTGTGTATACAGGGAGTTGTTACTGTGTGTTTGAGAAAATTTGCCTAATGGTTGTATTTGTAATATTAGAGAACTATCCCAATATCAGATGTAGATCACTCAAAGATTTCATATATCCTGTCTGTAAACTAAGGTGTATATTCATATATGCTTTTACTCAGTATTATCACCCCCTGAAAGAGTGCTAAGCCCAAAGTGGCTGATATTTATGGTATGGTAGCTATAGTCTTAGTTCCTGTTTTTCCCACTTCTACCAGAAATACTTCCCTTGGGAAAATTATTATTTATGATTGATCTGAAAAGGTCAGCACTGAGCTCATACTAAAATGATAGTAGTTTTACAAACTACAGATTCTGAATTTTTAAAAGTATAATCCTTTTCTCATGGTATTCTTAAAAATAGGCAAAAGATATTCCGAAGTCATAACAAGTCAGTTTCTGTACTCAGTCACTCTAATAAAAACTGTTGCCTGCTTCCTAGAGAATTGTGTGTGCAGGGACCAGGCAAAGAAATTGTCCCAAGGAGCAACAAGTTTAAAACAGACGTGCACGTAGATCGCTTTAGGCACATGGTTACCTGAAGATGTTGAGTTTCTGTGAAGGCCTTTTAATAACTAAGTTTAGCAAAAAGAGTGAAACTACATGATTCAGCTTATTAAAAAAAAAAAAAAATCACGTGCGTGATGTATCATTGGCTTCATTTCTTACACAGGGTATGTTGATTTTGCCGTAAATTGGCGAAGACATTATGAGTTGATTCCAACACATCAGTGCCATGTTCAATTCAAAATGACTCCCTCCTACCAGATTCTCCTATGGAAATAATGGTAATTTTGTAGAATTGTGCTTAGAACTCACAGTTGAGGGACCCCACAACTCAGCTGTATTTGTTCCACACACCATGTGCTCTGAGAAAGGTAAAATGCAAAGCAATTACACAGTATCTGGGCCTTATACTGGGTCAACCAAGTAGAAGCACATCCAGGCCCTTACCTACATTATTTTTGGCGAGATTTGCTGTTTAGATGATTTCTTTTAATGCAGCAATTATCTCAGAGTCCTTTGACACCCAGGTTGCTTTATAATCTATTTTCTCTTTTAACATCCTTAAAATAGCCAAATCCTGTCTGTATAACAAACTTAACATTGTGATGCCATCTCTTGCTTACATGATTAATTGTGACTCTAGGATAATGGGTAATTAAAGTCAGTGAAGCCAAAAGGATTTTATTTGGTTTTACGTTCAGTTGGAGTTTACTTTTTGTACATAAAGAAAATCAAATAAATACTGACTTTGTAAAAGAATTTACTCTGAGTTGATGATCATTTCCAAACCCTTCCTCGTGTGTGGAAGGAGGGAAGGGGGTTTGGGGGTGGGATCGTTAGGAAGCAGGCACTTTGCAGACTCTGTATTTGAATATTCTGTCTATAATTAGTTGGCAAAAGCTCTGTCCCTGATATTCATTTCAGTTCAGTTCCTAAGCCAGAATGTTCCTTTCACGTTTGTGTCCATAAGGCTGAGTGAATACCTTCCAAGCCAACAATAAAACAGAAAAGGATCTTACATGGCTGGGGCATGGGCCTGTACTCATGCTGCATGAAAACGAGATTTTATTTTTTGGCTCATTACACTTGAGTAATACAGCTTCATTCTCACAAAACTGCTGAGCCCTTCCTACAACGTCTGTTAACTGGTGTTGAGCAGAACATCATTGTTGTTCATTCTGCAGTGAAGCAAAGGGCCAAATAGCAATGCATTTAAAGCCATAGCACCCTACATTTTCAATTAAGTGAGACAGCCAAGCAGTTCCTGTGGGACTCCTCTCTACTGTTTCCTGAAGCCAGTAGAGCAGACAGCAAGCCGAGAAGGTAAGTGCTACCCCTCTTAGATTTTTCATCAACATATAAACAGTCCAGTTATGCAGATGGGAAAACTTCGGCCACAATGTTCCCTGGTCCTTAGGGAGCCAGACACTGATACTAATCCTGTCATCATGCCACCCACTGCCTTTAATTAAAGGACGCTGTTGGTTCCAAGCACACCAAAAAGCATAAGGGGCAGAATAGTTGACACAGAGCCCCCAAGGGGAACAGACCACACATGCATTGCACATATGGCAATTCAAGGGGACTCAAAGGGAGCAGGGAGGGAGAGAATGGCCAGACCAGTGCTATTCACTCTATTCTCAGTGGTAGCTTGAGAGTAACACCCATCTTCAGCGACTGGCCGTTTGTGTCCTGTCCAAGCTGAATAAGATAAGGGAATGTAGAAGAAAAACCAGTTATAAAGCCTTAAGCAAAAGCATTTTCAAAGCCAGTTGATTGACATGTTTGCCTGCTTCTTTGTAGAAAGTGGCATACTATAGATAGGTGGCTTTCAATAGACTGCTTGGCAGTGGCACTCTTTCTCAGAGTCCTTCAAAAATGCCTGAAATATTAACCAGGCAAAAGCCAAACATCCCTCGTTGAAACTGGGGTGAAGATGAGAACCCCACTCACATGGTCTCTTCTCATCCCCTGATAGTGATTGAATTGTGCCCCCCCCCCCCAAAAAAAAGATACACTGAAATCCCAACAACTGGCCCCTGTGAATGTGACCCTTTGGGGGAAGAATCTTTGCAGATGTAATTAGTTAAGGAGAGGTAATACTACAGGAGGGCAGACCCGGAATCCAATATGACTGGTGCCCTTATAAGAGGAGAGAGTCACACAGGGAGGAGAATGCCATGTGAAGACACAACACAGAGGGAAGATGGCCATGTGAAGACAGGGGCAGAGGTTGGAGTGATGTGGCCACAAGCCAAGGAACACCTAGGGCTACAAGAAACTGCAAAAGGCAAGAAAGAATACTCTCCCCTAGAGGCATTAGAGGGAGCATGGCCCCACCAACACCTTGATTTTGGACTTCTAGCCTCCAAACTGGAACTGTGAGGTGATAAATATTGGTCATTGTAAGCCACCCAGTTTGTAGTATTTTGTTACAGTAGCCCTAGAAAACTAATACACCCCCAAACCCAATCCAGTCCCAAAGGTGCCCTCGACCATCCCAGTGCTCCAAGGAGAACCTAATTGGAAAAACACTAGTACAGATCAAAGATTCTGAGTTTGTAGTTTGACATACATGTCAAGTCCTGGATCTACTGGTTATTCCCTGTGTAGTCTCCGATGAGTTTCATACCCTGCCTGAGCCCAAATTTAGCTTCTCACTTTTCCAAAAGGCAGGAAAAAAGAAGGGTGCCTGGGTGGCTCAGTCAGTTAAGCATCCAACTCTTGATCTCAGCTCAGGTCTTGATCTCAGGGTTGTGAGTTCAAGCCCCTCATTGGGCATGGGGCCTACTTAATAAAAATAAGTAAATAAAACTTAAAAGGCAGGAGATGTGAATTTATTCACTTAATTTACCTAACAGGTTCATGAAATCTGCCATGTGGGCTTACTCTGAGCACATGTGCATCATAATCTAAATCATTAACTAGCTGTCTGACCTCCCTACCAGAATCCTCAGTTGGCCAGTTGTCAGGCCAACCTTTTTTCTGTCTACCACTTCAGGTTTCCAGCTTGAAGCAGGCCTGAGTCTGTGGAAGAGAAAAGACCTGATATTAGATCAAGCTCAAATTGGACCATTCTAATTTCTGATTCAAGACTGTACTGCTATGTAAGGTGACCACTGAACATTTCTAATACATAAGGATGACCAGAAAAGTTGCAAGGTGCTGGAGTTTATATTTAGGACCAAGGGAAGGTTGCTGAATAAATTTTAAAGGGATGGTAGAAAACTAAAAGTGACATCTGCTTTAACTATGGCCTGCACTGGGCTTGTTTGATATACCAATTACATGTCTCAGGGTGCCTGGGTAGCTCAGTCAGTTGAGTATCTGACGTCGGCTCAGGTCATGATCTCACCATTCGTGAGTTTGAGTCCTGTGTCGGGTTCTGTGCTCACAGCTCAGAGTCTGGAGCCTGCTTTGGATTCTTTTTCTCCCTCTCTCTCTCTCTCTGCCCCTCACCCACTCATGCTGTCTCTCTCTCTCTCTTTCTCTCAAAAATAAATAAATGTTGGGGCGCCTGGGTGGCGCAGTCGGTTAAGCGTCCGACTTCAGCCAGGTCACAATCTCGCGGTCCGTGAGTTCGAGCCCCACGTCAGGCTCTGGGCTGATGGCTCAGAGCCTGGAGCCTGTTTCCGATTCTGTGTCTCCCTCTCTCTCTGCCCCTCCCCCATTCATGCTCTGTCTCTCTCTGTCCCAAAAATAAATAAATGTTGAAAAAAAAATTAAAAAATAAATAAATAAATAAATAAATAAATGTTTAAAAAAAAAAAGATGTCTTTTAGGCTTCCAAGGGGAACACGTAGATTCAGTGGTTGAATAGACAAACCTGAGGGTCAACAGAGAGGGATTCACATCCAGAAGCATCAGCATAGAGATGGTATTTAAATTCCTGAACTG